CTAGTAAATAGTAGTGCAGAAGCGTAGCGGCCGGTTTGAAGTCAAAGGCCATTCATAACACTTCTTCGCGCATAATCCCCGAAAATCCAATGTAACATACCGCAGCTCTTCGCCGAATGTCTTGTAAAACTTCGTTCGCCTCATCTGTTAGATTCATGGTGCGTTCCACGTCTTCTCCCGTAACAGCGAAGGTTCTGTAATTGCGAAGAATGATTTAACCTAATGACAGATAATCGCGATGCGCACGTTTTTGGCACGACATATACTAACAACTGCTTAGAAGCAGTCTTAAATTCAGCTTATAAAGTTCTCTCCATCTATGAAACAGAACCCCTGATTGACATCTACCTTTCAGCAGAGTTGAAGAGAAGCGACATGTTGCTCAGAGCTCCTCTAGCATCACCCACGAAGTTATTGTAGTCAGCTCCAGAGAGTAATTCAGCCATTTCCTAAGAAATCATGATTGTTCTAAAACAGATTTTGGAGAGGTTGTAACTTACTGCAAACTTTGCAACGTTTTTCAAGTTGCGACTAAGTCTGGCTCCCACTACAGTGGCCGATGAAATGTTAGAAATAGTCATGTTCAGATTATCCACTTCCAATCCGAAGCGATCAACGTCAGCAACGAGATGGTGGACGCATTCGTCGCATCCTTAGAAAAATCCAAACTTCTGGAAAATCTGGGAAGTGTGCCGGAAAGGGGGAAAACTCACGTCTACACCCATAGGTTGGTATTCTTAGATAGGACTGAATGCATTGATCACATCTGGCTCCAGTAGCTCCTTCTTGGCAATGGCACTGTCCAGTGCGTACATCACATACTGTACCCATGGAAAGATCTGCCTCACAATCGCATTCTACAAAAGGGAAGTACTAAAGTTGAGTATTCCGAGAATTACTGAGTAACTTACTCTGACATCCATACTCTCCATAATTCCAGAAACCATGTTCACAATGTTCACAGCGTAGTCCAGCAGCGCCAGGACGACATGAGCATTGACCATTTTCACCGTCGCATTGAGTAGAAGATGCTGCTATACCGCAGTGGCAAGGATGACATCCGGCACAGCGAGAGAAACCCCAGTAATCAGGCTAAAGGAGAAGTTACGAGAAAGGTGTTTAAAAAATCCAAATAAACTAACCAGACAACTGTCACAATTTAGTCCTTCCACATTTGGTTTGCAATCACATGTGCCAGCCTTATTATCACAAGCATTCGAACCGCACTTATTACAAGTACATTCTGTACAATTCTTCGCACTTATTGCATCACCATGATACCTAAATCAATATTAGGTAGCTTACGTAAACAAATATAATACAATAGACTTACCAAGAGGCACACCACTCGCATCTTCTACCATCCGTATTTCCCTCACACAAGTAGCAATCACCAGTGATTGGGTGGCAAGCTCGGGAATCGGTCAAATTGTTGTTATTATTACAATCGCACGGTTGACAAGAGCCTCCTGGACGCTGGGGTTCACCGTAAAAGCCAGCGGCACATCTATTTTGACGTCAGTTAATATAAGAGTTTGAAACTCCTCCAAGAGAGCTTTTTCATAGAGAAATAACGTCAATGTTTTGTTCAGCTGAGGCGATGTTGAAGACTATTTGGAAAAAAAACTCGATTCTTAGTCGCAAGAGTTAGAAGTGGATTTTCAGTGTGAAAATCCTTTACTTCTTGTATTCAAAGCTTTTATGACTAAGACAATCTTCTTCTCATGAATAGCGCAAAACTTACCTATCACAACGATCACCAGTATAACCAGGCTTGCAATTACACGACAGCAGCTGTCCATATTCCGAAACCTAAACCTTCTTTCAAATTGTTTTCCTTTTTAAAACATCGCAAACTATTAACCCTCCACTGACCTGACAACCAGTAGCAAAATTATTCGTAGGTGAGAATGGACATTGGCATGGCATACAAGAGTATGGACTACCATCGGTTGCATCTCCATAGTGGCCTTCATCGCAGAATTCGCAGTGATCTCCATGGGTGCTATGTTGGCAGTCAAAACAAACACCTAAGAAAAAATCCATATTTTATGTCAAATCTGCAACCCCAGCACCAACCTGAGTCCGGATCGCATGAACCGGAGTGCCCATTGCACTCGCATGGCACACAAGCACCAAGGTACGAGCCACTTTGGACGCGATAATAACCGGGAGCACAGTGCTGACAACTTGGCCCGCTATAAGGAGCAGGACATGCGCACTGTTCCACTGAAGATGCTTGCATGACTGATGGTGGAAGACCCTGGAATAAAAGTTGTGATCCAGTCTATAAGTGAGTGAATCTGCCACGGTAACCTCTCCAGCCACTTCCAAGCCAAAATCCACAAGCTCTGCTGATTTCGGGTTGTTGTAGTAAGATGCTTTAATGGTAACGTTTTGCAGCGAATGTAGGATCATCATAAGATCTGCACGTGTTACAGGTTGACCAGTAGATAGCAGGAAATTTTCCTGAAAATTTTTCTTATGTGAAACATGTCTAGCAGTAACAAAAAAAGCATAAATCTGCAGTCTTTTCGCAAAGAACATGTCTTAATCCGTTATGACTTCTACAAAAGTTGTCTGAAGTTTTGAATTTACGACGATAAAATCCCCAGTCTTAATAATTTAGTCCGAGAATAATTCTAGATAGCTTTTCACAAACACTGGGATTTTCTCATCTACATAAGAGACGATTTGAATAGCTGCACAGTGACCGCGGACATAAAGTTTTGAGCGCCACTTCCGTAAATCGCAGCGCAACCGCACGCGGCTCAAGAATTTGCCCCAGTTTTGAAAACGACAGTATTGAAGAACTCCTGGAGAACTACGATAATTCCAATTTGCTAGTGGTTATGTTAGCTTGAAAAATTAGAAAATCAGAAATTCACAGTGACGTTTCTCCTTAACATTAGGGCGCATTAGGTTTAAAAAAAGATAGAATTTAGAAACTCGCAACATTAAACATTTCGTAAATTTTGCGATCGAACCTTATATTTCGATCACAGTGCAGTAGCGCGCGTCATAAATTATAGCAGTAATTTCCAAAGCTATTCATTATCCCAAATCAAGAGAACTATGTACCAATGATGCTAAAGATTTTTTAAAAAGTTCTAGAATGAAACTACTGAAGTTGAGAAACAACAAGGAAAACAAATGAGAGGTAAATCCCACCGGTAGCAACTTCACGCGAACGGTAAATGCTTCTTCAGGTTTTGCTGGTTGCTCTGGAGCCCAAAATTCTGCCGTCATGTTATTACCGTATAGTCTCACATCTGCATCAGAGCTCATCGCATGAGGACCGTCTGGTGGATTTGATGATATTTGGAAGTATAGCTAGAAAAGAGGCAAGTCTTGCTTCAAGTATTTCCATTCTATAAAAGTCAAACTTACGGTCAGGCCATAACTACTCGTGTAATCTGAACCAGAGGTGATAGGGGCGTTGAAGTACACACTAGCTGGCGATCCTTCACCAGCTGTATATTTAACAATGCTATCTTCTACTGTAACATTTCCAACTGGATCGTTAACAGTGAATCCAGACATATCAAAGGATGTCTGTAAATCAACCACCTTTTCAAAATAAACAACAAGGAATAAAAAAAACTTACAATTGAAACTGGGAACATGCTCGATCCACACTGATCTGTAGTTCCAAAGCAGAAGCAATTGACGCAACCTTTGGGATTTGCCGCAGATAGATGGAATGTGCCCGGTTTGCAAGTGTCACATTCTTGTCCAGCGACATTTTCCTAAGAAAAACCAGCTGTAGCTTGGTTTTTCGGAAATAGGAAAAATACGAGCATGCGATGCAGTTGCACATTGCTCAAATTCAAAAACCCGCTTTCAAGCAAAATAAGGAAGAGTGTGCCATCGCTACTTTATGACCCATAAGGATTCGATATATTTCGTGCAGTACACCACATACACAATACAATCTACTCTATTGTACTTACTTTGCATGTGCATTGTGCATTTGTTGGATCACAGATCTCTTCAGTTGTACCGGCAACGTTACAACGACACGGGTAGCAATGGGGAAATCCATAGAATCCAGGAAGACATCGATCACATTGACGCCCACCAATTGATTCACGGCATCTAAAATATTATAACATATTCAAAGGATTGTTGGCAACGGGCTATATCAAAGCCCCATCATAAGGGAGAGGTTAGCCAATATAGGAGTGTGCATGGTGCAATTGCACAAGCACCACAACATCTACTAAATGTGGTCTACGGAACAAAGCCATGTAGCTTTCAGCAAGGTTTACTTAAGTAGGAGATCGCTTGAGAATTTTTCCGATTTTTTTTTCTGGTTAATTACGAAGGCTCATTTAGCAAACTCTCACTGTTTCCCTTTTCGAAAACTTCATACTCACAAGCATTGTCCGCTATTCGGATCGCACTGTAGTGAAGCTCCTTCCGAACCTTGAGGATGACATCCGCACTGAAATAGCGCAACATCAAAATTCTTAAAAACTTTCTGCAACTTTCCGTCTTTCTATACTAACCTTCTGGCAACCAATTAATGGATCATATCCGAATGCGTAGCTTACGCATTTATCGCAAGAAGTACCTTCCACATGTGATGGACAAAAGCATTGGCCGGTATGTTCGTCGCATTGTTGACCAACGCTGCATTTGCATTCTAGGACATAGTTTTTTAGAGAATAGAAAAGAATAAGCCAGATTGTTTTTTTTTTCACAGAAGAAATTTATCTCACTTACTCTCTGGTGAAATAAATTTTAAAACAGCTAGTCTTCTTAAGTTGAGCAAATCACTCAAAACCCAAACTTAGCGTAAAAGGAGTCTTGTTCCGATCAATAGATTGTAAGTCTGAAATTACTGGCTCTTTCCAAAGGGGCCTACGCTTATTCTAAGCAGCGCACTATCAGTTATACAGGGAATGACAGGAGATGGTCTTCGTCCAAACTCCCATCTAAGTCTGTCGAGGACCAGTCCTCGTACCCCCAGCATTTCAAAGTCAGACATATATGATGGCCTTTGCACGGCAATCTATACGCTTTACATGCACCTTATGGCTAAAAACCATGACTTATACCAGCTGTAACACGAGTTGCGCTCAAGAACGTTGCATTTTCTTGAAATAACGCAATGGGTAAAAAGTGAACTTACTTATACATTCGGGGTAATTATAGTATCCTGGAGCGCATCTTTCACAACGTCTCCCGATGATATTTGGCTTGCATTTGCACTGCCCACCATATTCGTCACAGCAGAAGGACTCAGAGCCCTAGAATCCATTTTCAATTTTTTAAAAAAGCTATGAAAGCTAAGAGCGCTATTTGATCTCACCCTGGCGATACAATCACAAGAAAATGCCGCTCCATTGAAGTCCGTTGTTAGCGAGAAGATCTTGTCACGACAGAAGTCGGTCACATTTTCAGGACTGGAATATTAGATTAATTATTTAAGTGATCAAATGACTGAGTAAATGATCGAATGAGTGATTAAATGTAATTGAATTACGTACTCATTCTGATAGAAATCAGCACTGCATTGTTGAATGAACTCATTGGAGATATCAACTGGCAAAGGAGTCATTAGATTCTCGTTGAATGAATGGAATGGTACAGCGATGATCGAATCCTGAGACAGAGTTCCAATCAATAATCGATTGTTGCAATTAAAGTAGTTCCACTTGGCACTTACGATGAAAACTGGTCCTTTTTGAGTATTATTGTGATAAAGGGTAGCGATGTATTTATCTTCCATCCAGAATTGTATCACCTAAAAAAAAGTCTCTTAAATTCTGATAAGTTTTGAGAACTCAGCCTCGTACCTCTGGTTTCTCCTTATCCCTAATCAGTGCTCGACAACCACTAACAGAAGGACAATAGGCCAACGGTAGAACTGCTGGAAATGGAGATAGCATAATAAAATAATCTTTGA